GTACAACGACCAAATCGTACCTTAAAATATAAACTTCATGTAAGTGACACAGTTGAAGTTAAAAATTTCATGCAACTGAAAAGAAAACAGAAACAAAAAAACATTTTGGGAAGAAACAAAAAGCGCAATTCTATAAGTGAGCAGGGGAAAAGTACTCAGTTGGTGACCACTTGGTTGAAAGGAAAATACCACAAAATCGATCTATCTATCTATATATCTATCTATGTATCTATCCATCCATCCATCCAGCCAGCCATCCCTCCATCCATCGCATGTCATGCCATGCCATGCCATGCCATGCCATGCCATGTCATGCCATCCCATCCCATCTCATCCTATCCCATGCCACCCCATGCCACCCATGCCATCCCATCCCATCCCATCCCATCCCATCCCATCCCATCCTATGCCATCTCAAAAATAATAATAAATAATAATAATAGTAAAAAAATAGTAATTTTTTTCAATTTTTTTACTTTTTTAAATGTTTTTAATGAATGTAGTAAAATTTACTTTTGACATTTTGAAATTAACGCTGAAGTGGCAGAAGTAGATACTAAAGAGTAAAAAAGTAAAGGAAAATTTTTTTCCCCAGCAGAGATTCGAACCCGGAATCTCGTGTTATGAAACCGACCTCCTACCGACTACGCTACGGCGGCGGGAATGACACGCGAAATAATTCCCACGTACGTGATGATTGAATTTTGACTTTTACAATTTTTTTTGACTTTTTATTTTTTTAAATTTTTGTCTCAGCCAGAACCATCTCCCAGACGTGGTGATTCTGAATATATCTTCAGTTAGCGCTATTGAGTGACAAATCACGGAGAAAAGCGAGGTCAAACAAACACACACACACACACACACACACACACACACACAAGATGAGCCAAATTATAGTATAGATGGACTTCTGACGTTAATATGAAACCTGTCATATACTGTGGGCCGAGATTATGTAATATTTTAAAAACCCTATTGACCTTCAGTTGCATTACCCAGAACTCTACAGGTATCCAATTTACAGCTTTGAACTCTCTAGCACCTATGTGTGCTCTAGAACCTAGGTTGAGAACACATCTAATGGCTTTATTTTGACACACTTGCAGCTTAGCCATTGTGCGCTTTGTGAGATTGCTGTACCATATACTGCTTGCATAGTCAAAATGACATTGAATTAGGGCAGAAACTAGTAATCTTTTACATGCTGTGTTTAAATACTTATCTTTTCTGGAAAGAAATTTCAATCTATTGTTAATCTTTTTTACAACCTTAATTCCCGTTACCTCACCACTCATAGAGTCTTCCAAGACTATTCCTAGATACTTAACTGTATTTTTATGTGCAATTGCCACCCCATTACATATGATGTTCAGTTTTGGATTATCCCTGAGTTTGTGTTTAGTTCAAAAAATAAAACTTTCTGTTTTTCCAAGATGCAAGGATAAATTATTATCATTGAGCCATTTATTAATGGAATGCAATTCTCTACTTAATTCTTCCTGTATAGCCTGTACCTCTGTCCCTGAAACTACTAAGGCCGAATCGTCATCGTATAATAAAAGCTTGACGTTAACTGCCTTTGCCATGTCATTAACATAAATCAGAAATAACAGAGGACCCAAAATCGAGCCTTGTGGTACTCCACATGCAATAGGGTCCTTATTAGAGAAGGTACCTCCTACATCAGTTATTTGGCTTCTATACCAGAGAGATAAGCACCGAACCATTTAACAGTCGTAATATCCATTCCGATAATTTTTAGCTTGGCTAGAAGAATTTTATGGTCAACGGTATCAAAAGCTTTTTGAAGATCTAATAAAACCATACCAGTTAGATTTCCTTTGTCCGACTCCTTACGAATAATATCAGTTAGATGGATTAAACTTGTGTCAGTTGAGAAATTTGATCTAAAGCCAGATTGGAACTCGTACAGTAAGGAATTCTTTTTAAAATATGTCTCTACTTGGTTATAGGCTATTCGCTCCAAAACTTTGGACATGACACTTAAAATTGACACAGGCCTATAGTTTCCGGGTTCTGTTTTGCTATTCTTTTTATGTATCGGAATGACCCTTGCTGCCTTCATGTCATCAGGGATTTTTCTTGGATGAATGACATGTTGATTACATGTGTAAGAGCTGAGCAAATAACGTTTGATCCATCTTTTATAAATTTTGCGGGAATATTATCTAACCCAATAGCCTTACCTGTATCAATGTTTTTTAACACCCGTAGTACCTCTTTCTCTCCCACCGTTGTAAAAGTAAATGAATTTTCTACTACGCCTTTGTCCCTATAATAATTTTGAAGACTAATCTCATTATACGTCCCTTCCTTTTGTGGTAGATCGTTCACCAAGTTTGAGGCCACACTTAGTGGAAATACTTATTAAAATTATTTGCAACAATTGCTTTGTCAAAACATATATTTTCTCAAATTTTTAGCCCAACCCCGCCCAAGTTACTGGTTTCCTTATTTTTCATCCCCATACTCTTTAAAGTCTGCCATAATTTTTTAGGGTCATTTTTGTGGTCCTCAACCTTTTCCGTATAGTAATTAGCCTTTGCTTTCTTAATTTTATTTTGAACTTTGTTTCTAAGCAATTTAAAATTCTTGTATGTAATTTCATCTTTTACTCCTCGTATAAAGCAGTAAAGCATCTCTTTCCAGAATAAGCTCCCTAATCTCACTATCAAACCATGGCTCAGTTCTTTGTTTTATTATAACTTGTTTAATAGGGGCGACAGTGTCAATGGCCTCTAGGAGGTATTTTTAAAATTTTTTCCATGCAAGCTCTATAGAATCCGCATTAAAAATTTTATACCATTGCTTCTCTTTTAACTTATCTCTAAATACCTCTGGACTATATGTTTTTAATAATCTAATTCTCCTAGTTTTATGCTTACCTATAACCTGTCTTGAAATTTTCCTAGTACAGTAAGTTAAAAAATGATCACTCATTCCCTTGGCTATGATGCCCGATTGACTAATTTTGAGTGCATCAGAAACCATTATTAAATCGATGGCGGACTCACTTATATTAGTTACACTAGTCGGAGTAGTGATTAGTTGTTTGAGATCATATTGGTAGCAGTAATCTTTAAGAGCCTTAAACATTCTACTACATTTTCCCGTAAATTTTTCTAGAACGCTAACATTGAAATTCCCTAATATAATAATTTCCTGTTCATTGAACCTGTCAGCATTTATACTAATATTTTCCAATAGTTCGAAGAAGTTGCCTTGTTTTGGTGGTCGATAGCATACCCCGGTCAATATTGGTTTTGATCTTGGTAGTAAGATATCAACCCATATAGCTTCTAGCCCCACTTTATCCATATCAGTTCTTATATTATATGCTAAATCATTCCTGATGAAAATACACACCCCACCACCGGATCGATCTCTATCCCGCCTTTCTACACTATAATTTTCAAGTCATCAACTGAATCATCTAGCCAGGACTCAGATACAGCAATTACTGCATTTCTAGCTTGCATAGCAATATATCTAAATTCTTCTATTTTAGGAAGGATACTGCGAGCATTTAAATGAATGAAATGTAGACCTTTCTTTTGGGAAAAGCTGAATTCTGATGAGTCGCGATGGCATGGGTCTACTCTTGTTATTATTAATTCTGTGTCTCGTTGAAACTTATCTGCCGGGTCTTGAAGTGTAGCCAGCTTGGAGCTCCTAGGGATTGGTTCCTCCGACGCTAGCACGATTGATGTATCCTGTGCTTCATCTGATGCCTCGAGGCCCCAACCTTCTAGTTTTCCTGATGAACTTTAAGGAAGTTTCCAGCCAGTCAATCTCATCCCTTCCTGTTTAAGTGTAGTCCGTCATGGGTGTAGAGGTCCCGCCTGCCCGCGAAGTCTGCCCAGTTATCTAGATACTTTACTCTACTTGCGTTGCACATGGTCCGGATGGTGTGGTTGATGGACATCAATTTCTGGTTGATGTCTTTAGATCTGAAACAAGGTATTGTACCTGAAACTACTAGCTTTCCTGTTATGTCTTTGCTGCTGGCTTTTATAATTAACCTTGTATTTCCTTCCTAGCTACCTCTAGATCCTTGTTTAGAACATCATTAACCCCTACATGCATAACTACTGTGCCCTGGCTATCTATCCTATCTAGTCTTCCCTCTATATCTTTTGCATAGTCATAGTCATTACTCCCATTAGTCTATGATACGGTGTGGATGATCGTTTTGCATGTAAAAATAAATGTATAGCCGTTTAATAGAGCCAAATCTGTTAATACGTGGATCCTGAGCGTAGGACCAGTACTTACGAGCGGGGAGGACAGAAACTCACGTGTTTACAAGAACACTTTTATTCTGCAACTGCTGACGTCACATCACTTACAAAGACTTCTGGGTACTCGCGAGTGATATTACTACGCGCATCAACATCCCCTTTTCTTTAGTTTTTCAGAAACAGTTCCAATGTCTTATAGTCATAGTCACAACACACTTTCAGTTACATACTGTTACTATTTCAATTATAGAGACTTAGCACTTAGAAAATCCAATCTTGCCTTTATAAGGTCAGAAACACTGTTTAGAATTTCCCTTCTCCATCCTGCACAGCAATTCCTAATCTTTCTGAACACAACATTAAAATTGCACACGTTTAAACCTGTTACTTTGCTGGCTTTAAACAATGAGAATAACAAGCTACTCAAAATGAGAACACTAAAATCAAATTCTCTCTATCAGTATCAGTCCCTTCCTTAGTAAAGTCACTAAACTGCAACTAGCATGAAATCCCTTCACTCGTGTTGTTATTCACAATCCTACACTACCTATGTCACATAATCTTTCAGATGTACTGGTTTTTTGATATCGCGCCTTGATCTCAAAGACATGTTCCCGGACTTTTGTGAGTTACAGTCCATATCGCGCACATCTGAACTACTATATCGATCACGCACTTCCACATCACAGTCCATTTCGCGTTCGCGTCTATTCACTCTCGGGCTGCACGGTATGTTCACTCCTGGGCTGCACGGTACTCTTGGGCTGCACGGTACAGGAATTTTCTCTGGGATGACACCACCACGGTGTACTGTAGGCTTAACTGTCTCAGTCTTTGGCATCCGACGAGACAGCGGATCATCCCATTCTGGGGACACATTGCGAATTCTTGGGGAACACATTGTCGGCCTCATGTGTACACGATTGCGACGGTACACTCCTCCGTCAGGTCCTCTCACCATGTAAGTTCTGGGTTCCACAATCTCAATAATCTGACCTAGTCTCCAGTTCTTCCCTTCCATATGCTGAAAGAACACAGACTGTCCAACATCTAGTTCTGATAGATGTCGAGATTTCCGATTGTAATTCTTCTACACTGCGCGTCTGCGAGACTCGCGTTTTGCTTTCACAGACTCAGAGTCCTTGTGTTTAACTACGTGTGGGAGAAAACTTCGCGTCTGCCGGCCAAACATCAACTCCGCGAGACTACGACCAGTGTCTTGACGAGGAGTATTTCTCTGTTCAAAGAGAGCCTCAAAAGGATCACCACCTTCCTTCTGTGTTTTCCGCATGAGATTTTTCATGATCTTAAAGTGTGTACCGCGAGTTTTTTGGCTCAGAAAAACGAAATATAGCAGAATATAGTCTCACCTGACAGTGGAAATATCACTGATTATACCAACATTCAAAACACCAAGATTTTATGCAGTTATATAGCATAGAAAAATTGATTTGACCACATCATACCAGCAATACATTTTTCCGAGTAGTGACTCTCCAAAATTACAAATGGCGTCTCAAACAAGCGAACATAATTAAAACGAAAGGGCGTGCAATTCTGTTTAATAAATATTATTGCCTTTTTATGTCAATAATTCAGAGCACTTTCTGTCATTGTCATTCCCCTTGTTACTATCTGACTGGCAATCCACAAGCTTCTCTAATAACAGACTTTACGTGGCATTAGTACTACACTGCTGTTTACGCTAGTATAAGCGGCTGTGTTTACACTCTGACCTGATTTCTACGGTGCGTGGTATGCATTGCTGCACTGTGATAGATGTCTCGCGCTACCACGAGAAAATTCGAGAGATGGCAACGGTAAACAGAGACAGAACACAAAATTGTAAAATTGTGCATGATTTCATTGGATTTGGTGAATACGAAGGTTCTAAGTCATTTTATCGTTACTCTAGACAATTGCTGTTACTCAAGCAATAACGGTAGGTATCATGAAAGTGGGGAAAACACTAGAAAATTCTCGCGGTACACACTTTAACGGCGGACTCAGCTTTGCCGTTAGCCTGCTGGTGCATGGGTGACGACGTCACGTGATTGATGACCCAGTCAGATACAAATGTCTGAAATTCGTGACTCACGAACTGTGGACCTCCATCAGATACTACGACTTTGGGTATACCAAATCGAGCAAAATGCTTCTTCAGAAACATAACCACCCTTGCACTTGTTGTCGTTGTAAGAAGATCGACTTCTATAAAGTTTGATAAGTAGTCTAGCTACTACGACCAAATACTGCTTCCCTTAGATGTCAAACAAATCCAACCAGACTTTCTGCCAAGGAGTGTCACCTTCGTCGTGTTGACGTAATGGTTCCTTCTGATTTCTCGACATGGGTTCTTGGCACGTTTCGCACGTGTCAGCGATTTGTCTAATGTCGCTCGCAATTCCAGGCCAGAAAATCGTACCTCGGGCTCTCCGCAGCATGCTGTCATAACCGAGATGTGCACTATGAAGTTTCACCCTCATTGATGATCTGAGCCTTCCAGGAATAACTATAGCCTCTCCTTTCAGGAGAATACCATCCATGTGACTTAGAGTGTCTCTAAAGTCATAGTAGGGTACTGCACATGAGGGGGTTTCACGTTTGTTCTCAGGCCACCCCTCCATAACCAATTTGATGACAGCCTGTAGATTCTTGTCACCCGACGTTGCCTCGCGAATTTCCTCCAGTCGCGGATCAGGAATGTCACCAAACATGTTTACTGCCATAATACGTGGACGTTCATCCAGGTTACCCGTGTCAGTGTCAAGATGTGCTCTACTCAAAGTGTCGGCTAACACCAGGTTCACACCTTTCACAAACACAAATTCCACGTCGTATCTGTTGTAACGCATCATGATGTCTTGCAACCTTCTAGGAGCTAGACTCAGGGGTTTCTTCAAGATGGCTGCCAGCGGTTTGTGGTCGTTCTCCACTTTCACTGTCCGACCATACGTGTATTGGTCGAATCTCTCGAGACCAAATAACACGGACAGGGCCTCTTTCTCTATTTGTGCCCAGTTACGCTCCGCTGGCGTCAAAGATCTAGATGCGTATTCGACGGGTCGGCCATCCTGGAGCAGGACAGCACCGATTCCATGCTGACTGCTGTCGACTTGGATTACGACGTCTTTCGAGGTATCGAAATAAGCCAACACAGGCGAATCTGTTAGGTTTCTTTTGAGTGTGGAGAAAGCTTTCTCGCACTCCTCATTCCAGATGAATGGAGTGTCTTTCTTCGTCAAAGCACGGATTGGGTCCAACGTGCCCGCTAGATCTGGAAGAAACCTAGACATGTACTGCGCCATGCCACAAAGACGTTTAACGCCGCTGACGTCTGTCGGACGTGGCATGTCACGTATCGCCCTGACCTTCGCGTCATCCACTTTTACTCCGTCCTTAGTGATCTTGTGCCCGTGAAATGTGATTTCACTCAGGCCAGTTTCCATCTTTTCTTCATTCAAGATGATGTTCCTTTCTTCACACACCTTGAGAAGTTTAGCCCGCTTTTCCTGGTTATCTTTCTTGGCTTCATTTTGATGTTCGCCACATCCAGCGATGATCACGTCATCCACAATGCAGAAAACTCCGTCGAGTTCTCCGATTGCCTCGTCCAGCTTACGCTGAAATATTTCACTCGACACTTTAAGTCCGAATGGGAGACGGGTCCACCGATATCGACCAAACGGGGTGATCATCGTTGTGAGTTTACTGGAGTCTTCATCTAGACGAACGTGCCAATAAGCTTCCTTGACGTCAAACTTACTAAACACCTTGGCGTTCTTCAGCTTAGGCAGGACGTCATCGAGGACTGGCAGTCTGTAGTGTTCACGCTTCAAAGCAACATTTAGTGGTTGAGGGTCAATACATATGCGTAATTTCCCGTTAGCTTTGTGTACAACAGCCATCTGACTGACCCAACTAGTAGGCTCAGTCATAGGTACTAGTACACCTTTGTCCACTAGCCTGTCCAGTTCCTCTTTCACAGAGTTCTGTATCGCTATCGGAACTTTCCGACATGGCAGTACTTTAGGGGGAACAGTATCATCTGTTATAAGTGTTGCCTCCCCTAGGTCACCTAGCTGTGGAACTTTCACCTGGGCAATGAAGCGATTGTCATGGATAGTGACAAAACCAAGTTTCTGGATCGTTTCCAGTCCGAGTAGATTTGTAAGTCCATTTTGTACTACAACAAACTTTACCTCCGACTCGACATTGGTTTGTGGATTTGTGACAGTCAGTGTGCACTCTCCTCTCGGTGTCACGTTGGTCTTATTCCACACGTTCAATTTAACTTTGGTAGGAGTTACCTGCCCCTGTCCCACATGTCTCTGACAGATAGTATTAACGTCAGCCGCACTGTCTAGTTGAAAACGGACATCTCGTTCGTTCACGACCAATGTAGCTGTCGCACGTACGCCATCTTTGTCGTCATTAACGGCAAATAACCACTTGTCGTCGAAATCATCCCCACTGACATCAGTTTCTTGGGACACGGCATGAATGTTCTTTTTACACTTCTTTGCGAAGTGATTCTTTCCCTCACATTTGGCACACGTTTCGCCCCAAGCAGGACACTTCTCCTTCCGTCTTTCGTGTTTGAGACCACAGAAATGACAATCAATTGTCATCTGTTTGTCTGCTGGCTTCTGAGACTTGAAGTGATTGTTGGGTTTATGTGGTTTGACAGGTTTCTGCGCTGGTCTACCAGGCCTGTACGATACCTTGTTGACACTTGGATTAGGTGTTGTCATGTCCCTAATTTCTTTTACCTGTCTATATGACTGTTCAAATGCCCTACACACTTTCACAGTTTTTACAAGTGTCAACTTATCTTCTCTCAACAACAGTTCTTGGAGTTTACCAGTCACTGTGAATACGATCTTGTCACGCAACATTCTTTCCGTCTCTTGGAAGTTACATGCTGTCGCACNTCTCTCAACAACAGTTCTTGGAGTTTACCAGTCACTGTGAACACGATCTTGTCACGCAACATTTTTTCCTTTTCTTGGAAGTTACATGCGGTCGCACGAGTTTTTAACTCGGTTAGAAATCTGTCAAATGGTTCCTGATATTTCACATTCCAGAAACGAAAAGTTTCAAGTACCTCATTGTCTCTTGGATTGCAGTAGCTTTCGAGAGCTTTGAGAACCTTCACGGGGTCATCTCTGTCATCTTCTTCCGCCCACGTAAACTGATCATAAATTTCCAACACATGCGATCCGGCACAGTTCAGCAAAATGGCAGTTTGCACCGCATTGTCAGTTTGTCCACCCCCTGAAGCAGCCAAATAAACTTCTACCTGACGCTTCCAACGTTTAAAATTCTCAGAAACGTTGCCCGTATTAATGTCAAGTTGCGGGGGGAATCGCAGTGATGCGCTGTATGCCGGTAGAGCATGCGCCATTTTAACGAGGTTGAATGGAAAATCCTAGCTGCACGACGTGCGAAGTCACATTCCTCGATAAGTTCAGCTTACCAACGTCTCGCCGGTCGCATCTACGCGTTCCATACAGTCTTCGTCACTTTTACACCGCTGCCACCATGTTAATACGTGGATCCTGAGCGTAGGACCAGTACTTACGAGCGGGGAGGACAGAAACTCGACGTGTTTACAAGAACACTTTTATTCCGCAACTCCTGACGTCACATCACTTACAAAGGCTTCTGGGTATTCGCGAGTGATATTACTAGGCGCATCAACAATGATTGTACATGTATTTGTATTGACATCTCAACCATAAAAAAAAAAACATGTGCAACAACTAAACTCTCCATATAACACCTTACACATAACACTACTGGTAACACATGCATCACAGTCACTAAGCCCGCGCGTAGCGCGGGTTCCAGCTAGTTTAAAATAAAGAGGAGTTATCCTAGCATAGTAACAGATAGTATAATTATCTCCTTATATGATAACATCAAGAGTGAATAATCGAGATTATATCTCTATTATTCACTCCTGATAACATTGAATCAGTGGGCATAATGGAGCTTTTGGCAGAAGAAATTATAGGCAAGGAGAAACGCACATGGTTATAAACGATTTTGTCTAACCTTTTTATTATTCTGTTATAATTCTCTTATTATTCTGTTATAAACATGCGCGGCTTATTATTCTGTGCACGAGGTCTGAGCAGAGCACTTATATCAACTGATATAAGTTGATATAAGTTGATATAAGTGCTCTGGTCTGAGACCGAATTATATGCCACATACTACCGCTAGATGGCAGCACTGTTTGTTTATAACATGGACGACGATGTCAATAACGCAACATCTGAAGTCGAAACCTTTAGGATAAACGCTCAAGTGGAGGACGTAACTGAGCAGATTATAGATAGGGAACCTGGGACGGCATGGGAGCCAATATGTTTCGCGGCAGTAGAGAATTTGTGTGTCTATGATGAGAATGGTTATCGCATTAGAATGGGCGATGTCTACATGAAGCAGAAAACTATACTCATCTTTGTCAGGGTGAGCTTAATTAAAATAATATTACTAATACTATTACTACTTAGTATTACTACTATTAGTAACGTAACATGACAGGCCAATCCTGCTTTGCCAGAACTACGTTATCGTATTTAGATTAAGCTGTAGTATATACGGCAATAGCAAGCGGTGGAGTGACTGGCGCTGAGAGGGTCTATGTCCCCCGGGGTACTGCCGGAACGTACCCTGGGTACGGTCCGGTATACCGGAACGTACCCTGGTACAATCTAATATGCCGGACCGTACCTCGCCTACTCCACTAACGAGTCTAGGGAGTCGCCTACGCCTACTCCCTAACCCTAACCCTAACTCTAACCCTAATCCTAACCCTAACCATATCAAATAGTGACCAGGGTACGTTCCGGTATACCGGACCGTACCCAGGGTACGTTCCGGCAGTACCCTGGGGGACATAGACCCTATGAGCGTGACTGGCTCGGAGACTTTTTTTGAGTGAACTCTTACTCTGCCTTCATAATAATTAATATATTTTCATTGCATAAAATACCAGCATTGACGTCACGAGTCTTAACGTCGTAAATATTATTCTTTAAAGTGATTACTTCACCGTAAATAAAAATAAATTTTTTCCCACTTTTTCACAAAATACAAGTCATTCTGTTAACTTTTTATGGTTAAATTGGTGCATTATACTTCCTATTTTACTATATTGTTCGATGTGAACATACACTCGTGACGCATACATAGCCCATAGCAAGCAATTAATGTTAGGAACACTAATATCAAATCTTCCAGGTTTTTTGGATTTTTAACTAGTTGAGAAACAATCTTATGAGGTAAGAATTTGACGATACGTTTAGTCCCGTTAGTTCTTACTTTTAATGTAAAAAAATGGCAAACATTTTACAAATTTTACCATAGAAAATTCGTGACGTAGTCAATTTAATGTCCAAGGTACTATACAGTATACTAAAGATGGAGACAAAAATCTGAATCGAAGGTCGCCGCTAGTGCTAGTGCAAATAACTTGATTGTGATAACTTGAAGTTGAACCTGGGATCTTTTGACACGTGCCAGCTTTGTGACCAGAACTGCAGTGATAAGACTTGCATTGTCGAGTACTGTGGTTACTACCTTATAATTACTATTATCATTTTGATGTACAATTGTAAAGCCTGAATAAAATCTTTGTGGTAGAGTAAACAAAAAATTCCCCAAGTTGGCCATTAACGACTTATGGCATGTGTGTTTGGGAATTTCAATTTCAGCATTTTCTGTGCTTTATCTGTAAAGACTACGTGGCAGACTTGGCAAGAGTTCAGGAGAGATATCTCAAGGAGGCAGGGGTGCAGCTCGTTGTGATAGGCCATGCACCACACAAGTATATAAAACCATTCCGTGAGCTTACTGGCTTACATCATCTGCTCTACTGTGACCCTGAGAGGAAAGTCTATCATGAGCTGCAGCTGCGATCGGCAGAGTTGGTGCAGAAGAGTAAGTCTTCAGCTTCATAGAGCACAGAGTATTTTTTCTCTGTGAAGCATCGAAGCTCTAATAGCTTAATGTATACTATGTAGATTAGCTTCTCTGATTGGCAATATCTTCATTGTTATAAGGTGTGTTCTTTGAAAGGAGGTGAGTACTGCTCGAAAAACTGTTCGGTCAGTAACCTCGAATGCAACTTGATCCAATTCTACAAAGCAAACCATGCCATCACATAGCAGAGTGTGCTGTTAGACTTATTCTTCACCTTTCCTGTGTTAAAATAATGACAAACTCATATAACCATTTAAGGTAGCACGAGATCCTAGCTAGTAAGTGGCAATGGGTATTTGTATTCCACTTCTCTGAAAACTCACTAAGAGGTCTGAGAGTCTACTAGTAAAATGTGAGTTTTCTGACATGTTTTTGCCACGTTGTTCTTCCACAGAGAGCCCTCACGTGAGATCGAGTACAGTGCTTGGAATTCTGAACAGCACATGGCGAGCCATGCAGTGTATGGAGTGGCAGGGAAATATAGACCAACAGGGTGGTGCATTTGTCGTGGGACCTGGTAAGTGCATTTCGCTACTAGTATTTTAATTTTTCATTCATGGCCATATAGTTTATAGGGCATTTCTCTTAAATCCCTTATACTATAAGTTGTTATAGAACTAGTTCCTAGTTGCTACTGTGGCATTAGAAAATATTTTTTGCTTTGTGCTAAAAAAAGAATTCATTGTACATACATACTCTATAGTGGCAGCTGATATGTCCTATTCAAATATATCTTACATAATCATCATATTTGTACATGTGCAGTTTAGTGATGCTTTGTATGAAACAGTTATCTATGGAAATAGCCTAACAGTTGATATAGATAAGTGGCGTGGAGGGTGCATCTTGAAGCAACCATGTTGGGCCTGCATCTGAATTTTCTGCACGTGGTTACACTTTCTTAAATAAGTAGCTGCATGGTTAGGAGGTCAAGGTCTCGTTCACTAATTGGGTCCCACTGACAGTAGGCCTATCTCATATCCATATATTTGTATTTTCTGCATTTTCTAGTACGTGCATGTGTCATAATTTCTGTCGACCAGACAAGTCATCCTCGTTCCCTATTTTCTAGGTAATAACGTGCACTATGCACACATAGACTATGGGGCCACAGATCATGCTCCCATCAATGAGGTCCTCATGGCAGCAGATGTGAAGACCATGGACTTCACCCGGGCTCAGGTCATCCACATTTAGCGAGACGATGGATATGACGTGTCAGTTGATGAGTGCTGGTTAATGGATCGTATACTGACACGACGGTTTAAATTCGACGTTGATGTGCCAGAGTGGGCGTTCAGGAAGTGCTCTGAGGGCTGTGTTGGATTGCAGTACTTAATGCTGTGAATTTACAATGTTCAGTGCCAGAGTGGGTGTGTATGTCATCCATATGTAACAACATTTCTGATCAATGGCACAGACAACATTACGGCAAAATTCTGCAGTATTTATAACTGATGTTGTATGTAATATCACAACAATCACATGAATAACACCTTCGCATTATAACTTATGTGTTGTGCATACTTCTGCACAATTTTGCAGCATTTATGGGGATTGCACTTACTGATTTCTATGCTTTCTCTCCTAAATTCATTATTGATCCTTGCGAGAATATTATTCTGTGTGTTTGACCTTGAGTGCTTTATGGTGTTGCATCGTTAGATTAATTACAGCACGTAAACACGGGTAAATTTAGTGTTTAGTGTTTACATAGTGATGCAAGTGACCACTGGCTACGATATGCACTCGCATAGCAAATATTTGCCTAAAGTTATACTTACAAGTGTACTTCTAGATGAGATATTGTACAAGCACACTTACACACATATTATATATTTACATTCATACATATACATATAATATATATATATATACGTATATACTATATATATATATATAATTTATAATACAATTTTCCTTTTTAAGATTATTGTTTTTTCTGGTGCTGTAGTGAGCACATGATGTGCTTCCAGTATATACATTCCCATAGTTTGTAACATATTTACCAAAGTTTCAAGCGTTTATGAAACCTTCACGAATTCAAACACAGGCGATAAGGACAAGTCAATATCAATATGATATATGATATATGGTCATACAGATCAGTACGATAGTTATTGAAATTATTGTTTAACTAAGAAGGAGAGTAAGTAAAACGATTCACGTACATTGTTTGGTACTTTACCAGTGAATGTAGAATCCCGAAAAATCCATTATTGAGATGTAATGCTTTTATCAGGGCAGGCAATATGGCACATCGTGTCTCCGTCACTGTGTTTGTGTATGTGTGTGTGCGTGTGCGCGTGTGTGTATATGCGTTTGCATGTGCGTGTGCGCGTGTACGTGTATATGCGCGTGCGAGTGTATGTGTGTGTGCGTGCGCATGTTCACGCGCGTGTGTCTGAGCTAAAAGTCACGGCTGGCTCCACGCAATTGCACTGAGTTATTCCTCACTCTTGATCCTCCTCCTTGACTCCTCCTCCCACTCCACCTCCTTCTCCTCTCCCTCCTCCTTCCTCATTCTCCCCATTCTCCTCTCCCCTCCTTCCTCCTTCTCCCTTTCTCCTCCCCTCCTCTCCCACCTCTTTCTTCCTCCTTCCCCTCTCTTATCCCTCACTTCTCACGAACTATGTGAATCTGCAGCTAAATCAGAATTGGCTTATATGCTGCGTATATAGCTTTGCCCACAGAGCACACCCGCACGGTTACATTGGGCGCCTCACGGCATCTCTTGTGA